TTTTTTTTTCGGATAAGAAATAATTGTTATGCTAAAATGATAATCAAAAAACTCTTATAACGTCAAGCATTATTTGATTAAGTTCCTGAATAAATTAAAGTTAGAAATATCGAATATAACATAAATCAATAAAGCAAAATAAGCAAGCAAAATACACAAAGGAAGATATTTACCAATTCCAATTTATCAAGTTCATTACTCACGCTTTCAAATATGGATCTAATATCATCTCTAAGTTCCGTAGGTTTAACTTGATCAAGAATTTCTTCAGGATCCTGGAGATGCCATCCGCTTCTTCTCTTTTGAATGTTTAAATCAGATCTAACATAGACTAAAAGATCATTTAATCCAAAATCATTGGATAATATCCAATCATTATTTTCCTTAAACGATGGAATATTTTGGATAACAGTATTCGTTTGTTTAGCTGATGACTCAGTTGACGGGAAGGTATTTTGGATAACAGTATTAGTTGATAACTCAGTCGATGGAATAGTATTTTGGATAACAGTAATCTTTTCTTTAAGTTGTTTTGGTTTTCTATTTAAATATAGAAAAACAGTACATTGGTTATCTTGTACTTGTAGTTTATTGATTGATTCATAATTTGATATATCAGAAAGAGTTGATGAAATTGATATTGTCGAAGTTCTTTGAACGGATGGTAATGGAGTTGAATAATAAGAAGATATCGAATTAAAAATTTCAAGAGGGTGATCATGTGGCATTAAATGTCTTTCTTTACTATTTATTTCTTTTATAGAAATAGTATAGTTATCCCAATAATCATCATTTAATTTAAATCGACGAATTGCTTGTTTAATAAGAGCTATAGTAGTTGTTTTTGGACTTAATAAACCAATTTTATATTTAAAATCGGTTTGTATATTTTGACCAGGATAAATACGAAGAACACTATAAGTAGAATCTGAAGTTGATTTATTAATAGATGATGAACCAGTATGTTGTTGTAAACGCTTTAGACTCAGTGAACGCTGAAATGGTTGTTTTGAAGAACCCTTTTGAAGTTGGTCATAAAAATTATTTAGTGGTTTAACAGCATTAAATGGAATATCATCCTTCTTCTTTTTTCTTTTAAAGAAATTCTTAAATATTCCATCCTTTTTTTCTTTTTCTTTCTTTCCTTTATGATGAATTTTCTCACCAGATGGTTCAACTATTGTATTTTTATGATGGTCATCGGAACTTGGACCATTTTTTCCAGGACTAGTACCAAAAAATTTAGGTTTGGCTTTAGGTTCATCATCATCATCATCATCAGAAAAATCTATGAAATCGCTACCCAAATCTGACATTAATGACATATCATTGGTTTTAGGAGGTGAATTTGAAATCTCAGAAGTTTTTGAAGTAGAACTAGGCGAATCTATCGGATAGTTCTGTATCTGTTCAGAATTAAATAGTCCAGTTTGTTTTCTCGTTTTTATTTTATAATTTACAGACTCATCATCAGACGAACTTATTTGTGAACTGGTAACAACATTTGTTGAGATATCAGTTTCATTATTTTGTTGATTGTTCTCATTAGTCTGTGTTGATATTGAGGTGTTCATGGGTGTTATTTCAACTTTTTCATACGTCGGTGTAGCACTTGCTGTATGTTGTACATTTAGTTCTTCAGATTCAACTATAAATTGAGATTCGATGTTATTTTCTTGGTCTGTTATTTCCATTTGTTGTGTTTGTTCTTGTTCTTCAATCCCTTGTACATCTTCATCCTCATCTTCTTCGCAAACAAAGTACTCAGGAGATGTAAAATAAACGATTTTTTCTTTTAGTTTTGTTGGCCTTATAGATATATTATCAATATTGTTTTTCGGTATTGTCAACTATTTAATCGAGCAGCTGTTAGGAA